CTTCAAATACGAGATAATAAATGACCCGCAGTTATATAATATAATGGTACTTCGTTGTACATCATTAATCCTTTCCAGATCATTAGACTTATACCAAACAATTTTTTCCAATGGTAAATAAAGGGAAAATAATTCATCTGTTCTTATAAAAAAATCCTATTGCTATTATTATGATGCTTTTTAATACAAAAATACAAGTGAAGAGAGCAAAATATATACTGTAAATGATGAAAAATTGTACACAAACGTTTTTCTACTATCCATATCAGAAAAAATATCTCAGTATGGTATATTTCTCCGGTCTTTGTTTGGTAATCGATGGCAACCCATTTGCAACATCAGTCTGATTTTGCTTATTACACGGTTGTTGTTGGCATACGGTATGCAACAGCCAAGTCTTCGATATATGTATATGCCATGTTCATATTTTTCAACAATCCCCCTTTACCCGACAAAAAAAAAAAAAAAAAAAAAAAAAAAAAAAAAAAAAAAATAGAGTTCCCAAAATTTAAGATTATAGTACGAATTGTTTTCTGAATAGTAGGAATAGACATTCTGACGCTAATGGGAAGTCACAGCATGGTTTCGAAAGTAGTAGCAAGGGCGTATTCGTGGCCCATCGAGCTTAATCGTATTCCAAATAAATGTCGCATACCAAACAAATTTTTCGCATCTAAACAGAACGTATAGCATGTTGGACGTCTTTCAAAGCGGATTTATACCGAGGTGCTATTATATTCTTACAAAATACAGATGCTACCCATCTTACGAAAGTTCAGAAGAGTCGTTCATAACACTATTTTTTCCATAAAATGTTCCTAGGATCGCTATATAATCGCCTAATAATATTCGTGAGATCAGAGCTTTAAGTTCTATCAAATAAACAATTGAAAATACTAAAATAAATAAGTAATACATTTGAAATTAAGAGTACAGTGTACTAAATTAAAAAAAAATCTGAAAGTTTTCAGATTTTATATTACTCTCAAAAAGGCATTTTTTTTTTCATTTACACACATATATAGGTTTCGAGAGCATTTGGGCGAATGTCAGTTTGGGCTCAAATTATTTAAACAGAGCATATCTTTAGAATTTCCGTTAGACAGTCTCGCGTGCTGGAGATAAAATGCCTTTTTTCTGTATAGTTTTGCCGTTGTTTGCTTTGAAACTGTTGAGGCTTTAAATTGAAACCTAGTTACAATTTTACAAAACATGATATGTGTAAAAAATAACAAATTCGAAATTCAAAATTTGGCTTTTCAGGTGCCCGTATTAGGGAACAGGAGAACATATACAAAATTGGATGGCTCTAGGTACTGTTTTTTTTTTTCACAATGCGAGAAACATTCATACATCCATGCAAATTCTTCTGAATAATGCGCGACGATAATATTTGGTGGCAACAATTTGAAATCTGAAACGGGCATTTAGAGTGAAGTGACGCAAAATGCCCTGTCGAGACTAATAGCCATCCTGCTCTAAAGCCTCTTTGAGCTAAAAAGATTTAATTAAGACACAATAACACACCGAATAAATACTAATTCAGAAGTCAAACAACAAAAATCAGCGTTATACCTACAAAATTTTCACAGGACTAGTTTCGATGGTTTTACCGAACCATCATCTTCAGCTGCAAAACCGCAAATGAACAAGATAGGAAATAATGATTAGATCCTAATTCCAATCCTAGTTAACGATCCTAATTCCAATCCAAATTTGCCTTCGGCTTTTAGAGAAATTATGTTTTAGTTCTGGTTTCGCCAACAGATGGCGCCACTTGCTTATTCTTGTCCAGGCTTTCTTATCTTATCTAATCATTATTTCCTATCTTGTTCATTTGCGGCGGTTTGCAGCTGAAGATGATGGTTCGGTAAAACCATCGAAACTAGTCCTGTGAAAATTTTGTAGGTATAACGCTGATTTTTGTTCTTTGACTTCTGAATTAGTAAAAAGATTTACTTTACAAATTTACCTTGGATAGTCGTTTTCTTGGCGTGTGTGCCTGAGATGAGGATGAAACTATATGATCTTTATAATCAAGTGTCAGTTCAGTGCCTGACTCACCCTCTATAGATTCATCCACAAGTAAAGGGAACATTTGTACAAGATAAGTAGGCAACATTTCTGATGAGAGGTGGAAGGATCTGGCATGTTACGTACTACTGATCTCTGAAGTATCTTTCTTATAAAAATAAGTATCTAAACAAGTTTTCTATTTCTTCCGTCATAAGTCGAGAACATTTAAGTAGGGAACGTTTGTTTATTTGTCTACGTTTCGTTTGTTTATTTTCTTCTCTACTGCAAACAAATTTAATCCCTTGAAAGCAAGTTTATTCGAATCCGTGACAAGCTCGTAAAATGAAAGTTCGTAAGAAGGTGAGTGTCTTCAAAATTACCGAGTAGAAACTGCCTTAGTTAACATCTCAGCTAGCTATAATATGCATTCAATACAATATAAATAATTAAATATTTGAATAATTTTTCTTTCTTTCAAAAGTAGTTTTCAGGCTTAAAATTGATCATCAGTATTCTAGTAGTAATGGTAAATCTATGCTGAATAAAGATTTTATGCGTGATTTCATATATAATAGTGTTGATATATGTACAACATTATAGCAGCTTGCTACCAATATATTTGAATAATTTATAAAATTAAATAAAAGGCCAAGGGATATCATGACTAGTATAAATCATCCAAAAAAAAAAAAAAAAAAAAAGAGTCTCAGAACCTTTACGTAGGCATAACATAGAAAGTCAATATTATATAACACAAAAAAAATATGTTATAACTACCTAATAATCTTGAAGCACGTTTATGGAAGAAGGACACTCGAGTATCGAATGTTAAATTTTTAAAATTTCGTATTTAGACTAAAGATAATCCTATTAAAATATTAAGGAAAGGAATGGAGTTGAGAAATTCGGTTTGGAGGTAAATAAAACTATTAAATCAAAAGAATTTGTGGATACATTATTGTTTAAATTATCTCTGTTACTATCATAAGGGGCAAAAACGCCATCCGTATATCGAATCCAAAATGAGAAAAACGATTGTTTACAATTTGGCCTCCAAAATATCACCAAATATTAGATTGATGGGGTTTTTGTAGTTCGATTTGATGGCAATAATTGTTTTGAAAAGCGAAGAAGGAAAATATTAATAAGAGGAAGATCAATTTTTTTAATTTTAGAATTCTCTAAAATATTTAAGATTAAATTTTATCGAATTTTAGACCTAAACACGAATCACTATGTGTAAGACTTTACTATCCAAGTTTTACGCTGTTAAGTTATCTCAAAGTTATTCATTAATGGTAACATAATCTTCACTTAAATATATGCGCTAATACAATAAGTTATTTAGATTGTGAAAAAAATCTTTAACTCAAACTTCTGCTGGCATTTTGTCAAAGCCAAGTACTGACAAGACTCATGTAGATCTAGCAAATCATTAACGCCTAAAACCCATAAATTCATTTTATCAAAAACTGTAAATGCCCTTCCTTATCTTTAATGGTAATAGAAAAGGGCTCAGTTGTATTTGTTCTCAAATGTACCAAATTACTTCAATTAGGAAAAGATATTGCTCACCGAAAGGGGCATATAGCACCTTAATGATGGCGACGCTTTATGGGTCTTAGCCTTGGAAGGGTTAAAAATTGAGAATAACTGAAGATGCAGGAGAGAGCGGTTATTTAACATCAATAGTAAGCTACCTAGAGAGTTTGTTTCATAATCAATGTTAGCATATTCTAGAAACAGTATTGTAATTGGGACATTAGAACCACTTACAGGTTTTCGAACTAGAAATGCATGATGGTTACAGTAAAAAGGAAATTTTTGACGTATTTTCTATCTTTGAATTTAAAAAAGTTAAAATATAACATAATCCTTGATGCAAAGTAACTGCTGAATGATATCTATACGATTTTAAAGCTTACGGGATGAGAAAAGCATGTTATTGATGAAGAATTGCTTTGATTTCTGAAAAGGATTAATAGATAACTATGATATTAATTTGCTTGAAAGTTGTGAGAATTTTTTAAAATTTATTACGCTGAATATTTTTGTCTTGACTGCTTATTCTTGAGTAACAACTTACTGTTACAGTAGATACTAGGAATTTCTACTATTAATTCTAACAACTGCAGCAAATCGCCTAAGTATGTGTCGTTATTATCTTTCAAGCATTTCCTGGAGTATTTAAGAATGCACCAAATTTCGCTCGTATTGTTGCAACGAGTTACAATCCTCTCAGATGCTACTGCTCTAGCGCTTGTGCAACAAATTTCGGTATCGCAGCTTTATATTCTTCATTTTTTTACTACAAAGTGAAATTATCAAAAAATGTGCCAGAGTCAAATCTATAGTTTCTCTTGGGTCATCCTTTATTACCATATATTTTGTTCAAACAATTAATGAACTTCGATATGGAAATCGATTTGCATACAGTCGAATAGGTTATTTTAGCGAATTTTGCATTTTAAGATGACTATCTGACAACTCAGCTCTTAATAAACTACGTCATCTTGCAAGTTTGCTGTTTCTTTAAAAATGAGACGCTAAACTTTAAAGACTGGTGCCTTCGCTATGAAGTAGCATGTCGAAAAGTTGTAAACTGAGCCCTACAGTAATGATGCCACTTATTTCAAATGCTTAACACTAATTATGGGATATCTTGCATGCATATTTCTTTATCTCGATGACTAATTAAGTTGCCAGAAAATCAACAAATCTTACAATCGTGCGTCATTTTAATACTTTTCTTCCTCAGGTTGGTGGTTACTGAAATAAAGCAAAGTTAAATTTAAGAATATAGAAACAAAATTTAAAATAGAAACAAGATTTAACAGCTTATATATCTAAAACTTTCCATACGAGAAAGTTTTACGATGTGTGTAAATAAAGTAATGGTAAATTGAATTATGTTGCTACTTTTGAAATCCTTTAGCTATATATTCATTTTCTTTCTGATTTATGTTTAATATACTTCTTTCTAGTCACGCCGAGTTTAGCTGCTATCCGCATGCTGATGATGGACGTCCCGAGCCCAACTAATCAAGGAGAATCTGTAGAATTGATCTGTAGCTATGAGCTAGACAAAGACAACCTTTATTCTGTGAAATGGTATAAGGATGATATTGAATTCTATAGATACGTCCCCAACGATTGGCCTCCTGGGCAGTTTCTGCCTTTAGAGGGTGTGCGAGTAGACGTAAGTTTTTTTTTTTTTTTTTTTTTTTAATGATTTATTCACTCTAGACTTAGTTTTCAATTTCTTTAAGATGATTCTAAATTGGTATAAAAGTAGTAGCTTTGAAAATAAAATAAATAACTAAAAAAATAATGCGATATTAACATTTAGCTACAATTCTTCATTAATGAATAACAACAGCAACATTGTACTTTTGTATTTATGCGTTAAATCACCAGAAGTATTAGATGGTAAGATAGGGAAGTAACATTAAGCTGAGAAAAAGCCTTGGGGGGGGAAGAAAAGCCCAAAACTCTGGTATATGATTGATTTCACAAATAACACTCTCAGTAAAGCAGGTTTTTGTAGATTAACGGATTGCAAAACTGCTCGTTCTCCAAATTTACTGGTTTAGCAATCTATGACTTTTTCCTTTTTCCAAAAATAAAGTCTGTACAAAAACAAATAGTTCTGAGTCATGGGGATCTGTTAAGATGAAACAGTCACAGCTATTAAAACATTTATCAGAAAATGAACTGCAACATGCCTTCGAGCAGAGGAAAATTATATGAGAGCCAATGGGGAATGAATCGAAGGAGACAAACATTACATTGACCAAAAATTGTAAATAAATATTCTTTTTTGAGCCATTACCGTTATTTTATAAACAGGGCTCAAAATATATTGGCAATCTCATTTGCAAATGTTTCATATTTTGTTGAATTTTAATGTATTTTTCGAAACAGAAAACCGATATTTTTATTCAAATTTCAAGAGAAAATTTACATGATAATGCCTAGTAGATTTACACATTTTAAATTTTGAAATGAAAGACATAAATAATTATTAGCATACTCAAGGGAAAGGAAAATCAGACATTTAGTTTAGTCTAGCAGTAGATGGTTCTGCATAGATATGTTCTCTAATGTCAATACAAACAAATTTCTGAGTTCGAAAGATAATACATTTGCATCTTCGATTAGCGGATATTCACGATAGAACGTTTCTGTTCCCTAAGCAGAAACGCCAACTAAATCGGGGTACAGTTATTTACTACTTCAAGGCCCCAAAAAACCAGGTATCGTTCATTAATGGAAAGTATTAACAGAGATTCGGCTTTATTGAGAGGATTGAAGAGTATTCATATTTGGAGTAGAAGAGTTTTTAACGCGGAAATATATCTAAGTATGTAATTTTTAATATGATACTAGCTTATGAAAACGTTTATAACATTTGTAATAAATTGTTTAAAAATTTTGTTTGTTTATAACATTTGTTATTAACATTTTTATTGGAGGTGGTGTAATTATCTATCGCTGATTTTTCGGAAAGTATGACGACCCAGTGGTTTTAACAGCGGAATATGCGCAAATTTGCATATATATTTGAAAGCAAACACATTTGTGAATGCGCCATCGGTAACCATTCCATAATCAACTTCAGGTATTGTACAAAGTGCCATAAGCAAGATTGAAAATTTTCCACGAAAAACTTGCTGGCTCTCTAATTAATGTCTAATTAAGCATTTCAACATGTAGCATTTTACTGAAAAAAATATTCACAATGACATTTTGTGTTTCTTGCATATGTAATCTGCATTTGGTCCCGATGCTATTCTACTTGTAGTCTTTTCTTGTGTACAAACGATATATGCAAGGAAAAAAATGCGTTGGAAATATAATTTCTCTCTTTAAGTAATCAGTGCTTATTATTCCGGTATACATTCTTTTCATTAATTACACATAAACAATCGAACATAAAATGTATGCCCTATGGCCGCATTTCTACGAAAAAAAATACAACGACAACGACAAATGTATACCTTACGACTATTTGCAATTTAAGCATCAATGCGCAACTAACAGAATTATATTCGTTGTATAATCTCATATGCAATTAACATGAGTTATTTTATTATTTACATGAAATAAATTTATTATTTACATGAATTTATTATTTTATTATTTACATGAGTTATTACATGAAGATCTTTTAAAAGCAAAAACGGGAATGGCAGACATTAGAAACTATAATCAGTTATAGAGCATACGTATCCTTATTTATTCAATCTGTTGAGAAGAAAAAATATGAATTTTTCTCAAGTTCAAATCCCTGTGTTAGTTTTATTCATAAATGCTCCTCAACGTTGCGGAAATTAGAGCGTTGAAAGAGAATAATTAGCTAAGAAAAGAAAGAAAAAATAAAACTTATTTAGAAAGCTTATTTTCTTATGCATATCTTAAATTTACTGAAATTTAAAATATTCATATTATGCTAATGTAAATAATCTTTGAGCTTGTTCACAATTTTCGTTGCTTAATCCTATTGTTTACAGAGGGGCGGAAGAAAGTTCAAAGCAAACAGAAATTAAAGATATGTAGAAAAGAAGCTGGTAAAGAAAACGTGTTTTTCTTCTATATACAAGTTACCCAACAACAAACCTATTTTGTAAATCCCAAAGGTTTTGAATGTGTTACGATTTTCGACTATTCGTATAACGCAAGAGAAAAAGACTAAGGAAAAGTAACAAATCCTTCACCAAACATGCCAGAAAATAAAACTGACGCAATCTCCCAGAAGCACAACTGATTTTTTTTCCTCTCTTTCTTCGGTATTTTTTTGAGTTTCTTTATTTTTCACCTTCTGTGGATAAATTTCAAATGCTCAAATCGTGACACGCTTTCTGAGGTGCCCACGAAACAGTACGTATGCCTCGCCTGCTGCCAACTGACGTGTACTGACTTTAGTGGCTGTCGCTTCAAGAAAATATAGGTTTGTTTTTCCGTTTCCTCTCTTCTTTGAACGTGAATTTTTATCCAGCTCTAGACGCATATACGGCAACCTATTCTTAAACAGAGATCTATAAGCTTCTTGTCTATTCAAAAAGAAAAAAAAAAGGATATACATCCAAAAAACGTTTTTCGAAGCATAAACAATGCATCAGTAGGCTCTTTGTAACAAATGACTTGCACGAAATGCATAATATGCATATTTTAAGTCAATTCTGGAATGCATACATAACCAAACAATAGGCATCTAAAAATATTTCATACCAAACTAGTACTGAAACTACAGAATAGTTTTAGTTTCTAGTGCTATTTATTGCACAGATTGTTTAGTATTATTTGCTAAATAAAATTATCGCTGAAATGCAGGGAAAATTTGTTGCAGTAGATCATATTTTGAATTCAAGATCAATTATTCCTTGCTACATTTTTTTAACCTTTCCTATTTCGAAAATATTTACATGAATGTCAGTGCAAAAGTTTGAAACATTAGTTAGAATAGATATATATCTCAAGACAGTTTCCTTCACATCAGTAGTCGAACGGGTAATATTGCTGGACACCGGTAGTTTAACACAGGTGTGAATTTCAGTGTTTTGGGAGGCTGCATCAGTATATTTCTTGTTTTCTCCGTATATAACTTGAATATGTTCTTAGTAAGATTTTCACCTCACATCCTTACTGTATTCAAGTATCTCTTGCGTACTTGCTATGTACAGAAAATATAGGGCGTTTTTCTGAATTTAGATTTATTACTTTAGTTTCCTTGTTTTACATATTAAAATGTTTATTGTTCTACAGTTACGTATAAATCTCAGTGACTGATTAAATGCATTCATTATTCATTAGTAATTCACTATTGTATAAAGTATTGTCTCCATGCATTCCGTATGACGTCGTGGTGTAATTGGTAGCACACTTGACACGTATTCGAGAGTTTCAGGGTTCGAATCCCGGCGAAGGCTGTGCACATTTTTTACGTAACAATAAGGAACAATTTTAACAATAAGGTAGCTTCGCGAATCACACAGAAGGTTTATAAAGCCTTTATGGAATGGTATTCTACAGAATTCTGTAAGGTTTTTCAAGCTGCAGTCGAAATAATTTTTTAATGTTTGATGATTTTTGGTATAGAACATAAAAAAAAAAAATCGAAATCATTCGCGTTATATTCTCATGTCTTAAATTATTTTTGAATAGACATTTTTGCCATTCAGCTTACGTTTTTAGCTTCTACATTTCTGTAACATTTTGTGCAGCACAGTATTGTTTATAAATATTTTGTATAGTATTGTTTATAGAATAAAACACAAATGTATGTTGTAAAAGCATCAGTTAAATTTGTTAATTACAAAAGAGTTACTCTCGGAAATAAATGCTTTTAATTATAATAAGCGTATTATTGATATGAGAAATGGCTTCCTACTATTTAATTAAGTTTAACAACTATTTATATTTTTTATTTAAATATTATTTAAAATCGGAACAATATTAATTTTCTTAGTACGAAAAAAATCACATCTGCCTCAAAAATATTTCTTTACCTATGATTTCATAAAAGCCAATGATGCCAAAATATAGGTTAAAAACTATTGTTAAAATTGAAAATTTAGTTTCACACTTTAATTCTAAAAAAATTCGTTAAAAAGCCACTTTAAAATGCTTTTAAATACTCAAAAGTTTTTATAGCGTATTTTATGAATTTGTTTAAAATTCTTTAGAATAAATATTAGCCAGTTTTCTACAAACTGGATCTCATATTTTCAGTCGATTATTTCAGTTGATATTTTCAGTCAGTTTAATTAATCCGATACACATTTTATAATATACCATACATGGGGAGTTCAGAAACTGTACAGGTCTTAATAGAATCTTAGCATGAATCTCTACAAAATAGTTAAACATATTTCTATACATTTTCCATACATAACTCTATAGAAGCTATTTTAAAATTTTACAGAATTCTTTAATAGATCTCTGACCTTCGAAAACTGGGCTATAATTATAAAGGAATGTAAAAATGTTGATCATTGGATACTTTTATAGGATTTTAGTAAATTATTTTGTCAGGGAAGTTAAGTTATTTGAAAATGACAAAGCATATAATGGTTGTCTAACCAAAACGGAGAGATGCCTTCATGGAGGCCTTTTCGACGGAAACTTGCTCGTATTCACCTTACGCATGGCGTAAACATGAAAATTCGCATGAAACCCGCTGGTTCGGTTTGAACCCGG